TGGGGCAGGCATTTTTGACAAACCCACAATGAAAACTGACCCACGTATTTCAATAGAAATGTTACAATTGCTACGTTTAACCACAGTACGACACTCACATTAAGGACTAAACAGCTTACTGTATAATAGCCTGAAAGTTAGCCACATTTTAAATAATTCATATGAGAAACTCTATACTGAATTCCAACCTGTTTTCAGGTTTAAAGTGGGAAATTGCATGCCTTCCTAAGTCCACATGGGAATTAAGTCACCAACTAAGCTTACCCTTCCATTCTGCAGCATTGCATGCAATGCAAACAAAAACAGTACGATCCAAAATGAAGACAGAATACTAAACCCCGTATTTCTCTCTCAAATTCTAAGCGATTACAGGCTACATCAAAAGCCTCACAACTCACTGCAAAAACTACTAAATATCAAGTTCCATTATACTTCTCTAAAGCAGGACTTGGGTGATGTAATGATACAATGTCCCCCTTGTGGCAGCACCCGTCCACTTCACGTGTGTTGTGTGATGTGGGTGTGTTGTACTTTCTATACATAAGAGGTAGCTGGTCTCATTAACGGAAATCCCTTGTTAGGATACTCACTTTCTGGTAATACTGTCTAACTGCCCACTGATTTCATGGCAAGGGAATGTAACTAATGTACTGTTAACAATCCCACAAATCTAGTAGCAAAGAAAAGTTTCAGGGGTGACCTTAGCATCCTTGAAGTGGGCAAAGTAAACACAGGATCAGTAAAACATAGAATCCAAACTGGGCTGTGGACCAACCAACTGCTTTCAGTTTTGTTATCACTTGTCAAGCACGGGACTAGCCTGTGAGGTTACAAAGATGAGTGAAACAGTGGACTTGGCAGACTAGTATACAGGGAATTCCTCGGATTTTTAAAGTATTTATTACTTTTAGTTAAGGGAAGAAAAACTCTGAAAATGTACAAATAAAACCTAAAGACCACAAACTCTACTGCTAAATTTTAAACTAAAAACATTCTGAATAATAAAAGGGAATTGTACTCTTCATTTTAGATAGAGTTCACACAGTTTACTCCTCGCCAGTGGAAAAATCAGTCTTCCCATTATTAGCCGTTAACTATGTACTAGCTATACTATTTAGCAAATAAAATTTAGTGGGTAAGAGATCAAACATAAATGAGAAGCTGAAAACTAAAAAATACGGTTAACTACTCTTGAGTGCAGAGCCACAGACCTTACCCTCTGCTGTAGCTACGGTGCAATACGCCTAAGACGGTTGAGCATGGTGCTCACGCCTGTAATCCCATCACTGCGGGAGACTGAGGCAGACAGATCACCTGAGGGCAGTTCAAGACCAGCCTGGCCAACATGGTGAAACCCCATCTCTACTGGGGGAAAAAAAAAAACAAAAACAACCCCCCACACACACACACACAAATGAGCCAGGCATGGTGGTGCACGCCGGCATTTCTAGGTACTTTGGAGGCTGAGGCAGCAGAATTGTTTGAACCCAGGAGGCGGAGGTTCCAGTGAGGCAAGACCAAGATCGTGCCACTGCACTCCAGCCTGGGCAACAGGGCAAGTTTTTTTCTTTTTTTTTTTTTTTTTTTTTTTTTTGAGACGGAGTTTCGCTCTTGTTACCCAGGCTGGAGTGCAATGGCGCGATCTCGGCTCACCGCAACCTCCGCCTCCTGGGTTCAGGAAACTCTCCTGCCTCAGCCTCCTGAGTAGCTGGGATTATAGGCACGCGCCACCATGCCCAGCTAATTTTTTTGTATTTTTAGTAGAGACGGGGTTTCACCACGTTGACCAGGTTGGTCTCGATCTCTCGACCTTGTGATCCACCCGCCTCGGCCTCCCAAAGTGCTGGGATTACAGGTTTGAGCCACCGCGCCCGGCCTCAGAGCAAGTTTTCATCTCAAAAAAACAAAAACGAAAACAAAACAAAAACAATGCATAGGAAAGGAGAACCCAGAGTTGAAAACAGAACCCTCCTCTCCAGGTTATTCTACACTTCTCGCCATGTAGTTGCCTGAAGATGGTTTTTGTTTCTTTTTTTTTTGAGACGGAGTTTTTCGCTCGTTACCCAGTCTGGAGTGCAATGGCGCGACCTCCACTCACTGCAACCTCCGCCTCCTGGGTTCAGGAAATTCTCCTGCCTCAGCCTCCTGAGTAGCTAGGATTACAGGCACGCGCCACCATGCCCCGCTAATTTTTTTGTATTTTTAGTAGAGACGGGGTTTCACCATGTTAACCAGGATGATTCCCATCTCTTGACCTGGTGATCCACCCGCCTCGGCCTCCCAAAGTGCTGGGATTACAGGCGTGAGCCACCGCGCCCGGCCTGGAATTTATTAAAAAAAAAAAAAAAAAAAATTTTTTTTGTCTTGCTCTGTCACTCAGACTGGAGTGCCATGGTGCGATCTTTGCAACCGCTGCCTCCCAAGTTCAAACGATTCTCCTGCCTGTCTCCCAAGTAACTGGGATTGCAGGTGCCCGCCACCACACCCAGCTGGCTTTTGTGTTTTTAGTAGAGACAGTGTTTCACCATGCTGGCCAGGCTGGTCTCAAATTTCTGGCCTCAAGAGATCTACCCATCTCAGCCTCCCAAAGTGCTGGGATTACAGGTGTGAGCCACCACACCCAGTCTTTAAAATGCTTCTTAACACAAATATTGTAAATATATACAAGTAAGCTAATATACCAATGGAGAAACTTTTAGGTCTGTATTCTGTTGACAATCAGCATGACTTGCCTGGCAAAAAACTGTCAAGTCAAATGCGCCTTCTGTTTGAACACCCTGTCACCACATAAGAAACAGGGCCATAACAAAGTCATGCATTACATGCATTACGTTTCCTCAGTTGAGGATCTGAGGTGTATGGTGGTGTGGGGTGCTGTGGGGTGGGAGAGTGGGGGTGGCAGCAGGATAAATACACCATTATGGCACATGAAATAATTACACACATAAAAATATTCTAATTTATATTTTATTGCATTATGAAAATACATTTATTTGGCAAAGTAATCTAGGCTCCAAGTTGAAATAAAAGAAAATTCTGAAGAGAGTGTACTGATTTGTAAAATGTGAAATAGATCTATTCTAACCAATACATACTAGCATTCTTATTAGGCCAAAACCCAATAAACCTAATTTTTATAATTCCGTATGAAATTACAAGGTGTTTTGCATTCATCCATTTTATGATTAGCACAAATCTTGAGAGAACTGCCCCTCACTTTATCAAAATCAATGTTAAATTCCTGTTCAGAAGACAATTTGAAACACTACCGAATATTTTTATTTCCTTTGGTTTTATAAGTTGCATTTTCATCCTTACGTTACAATTTTTTCATAATCAAACACTGTAGCAGCTTTAGATTCTGCCCATGTACCCTTTAAGTAAACTAGTATACTACATTTACATTATTTGAAAAATTGCTGATTTTACAAATGCAAAAATGCATAAATACATGCCTATCTACACCTGCAAAAACAAAATACTCTGAGTCTCAATGCTTTTAACAGGCCACACCTCCTGACCGAGGATTTCTGGGATGCCTTTCCAAGCCACAGGGCTTGACTGGCTATTCCACTGCTTCAAAACACATTTCTGAAAGGTGTAGTTACAATAAACCCTAAGCAGATTAAATTTAACTAATAATCAACATTTAAAATATGACATTTTCGCTACTTCTGTTCTACATTTTTCAGAACTGAAAATACATATTTTTCAAAAATGTACAAAGATTTCACTTTTTAAAAGGGAAAAGTGCTAAAAACATAATACACATATATATATACACACACACACACACACACACACACATATATATATATAATTTTTTTCTCGCTTTCCTCAGCATCTTCAAATTCTTTTTACATGATGGGTTATAGTCTGGAGAACAGGTAAGCAATCTGCTCAAGGTCAAAAACAAAATATCTTTAATCACTGAGGTCTCGATTCTTCACTCAGATCTTTCAATAGGACTTTGCTTGATGTTTGTTAAGAAATATGCCTAAAATCAGCCTTTCAAAAATTCATATATGAATCAGTTACTATTAGAACTGACATTTTTATTAAGCAAAGTCTGTTAAGTGCACCTATGCATACTTGTGGAAATTTACTTCCAAATGGCCGTCAGTATCTAAAACCAGCTTAACAAGGATTTCCCAATTTAACTACAGAAGTATTCCACCTACCCTAAAGAAGATATTCCATGAGCATTCTACAATTATCTGTATAAACAGCAACAAGTTTGATCTATGATCAACATGGGTATCTAATAAATATTAAAACTATTAAACTACAGATTAAAATGCAGATCTCTCATAGAGTTAATTGATGTCACTTTGGTACATTCACCATTATTGTACTTTATTTAATAAAGAAATACATTTGCTCTTGCAAATATAGCAATTGCAAGTTTACAAATAAAACCACAGACCTCAAAGTCGTAATGCTAAATCTTCAACTTATAACCAACAAAAGTACATCAATCTGTTTACAAATGGTCCATGGCACTACAATTAAAATAAAAAATATCAAAGGTCACAGGATCTTAGGTAGGTTTACTGACAATTTCATAAATATTCTAAAGAAACTTTCAAAATTTCTAAACTTAAATTTGTTTCATTTTAACATTTTTGAAAATGTTTTTTTAAATTTACAATGTTTAATTTTTTCCCCCTCTTGGGTACAGTAAATCCATGTTAAGATTTTATTCCAACTATTCGACATAGTCATAAATATATCTAGCTGCTGTGAATCTGACAGTCAAGTCAGTCAGTAGTATATTATCCTACAAACATAAATAGATCCAAATCGTCTTCGTATTTATAGTCATGACAATTTAAGTAGTCAAAACACAAAACTCGTGGTTGCCCCCCAAATCACCCAAAAGCATATGATACAGTGTCAGAAACTGTTTGCATCACTTTTAGAAGCTCATCTGTGTAGTTCAGGTATCTGAAACTAAAAAAAAAGGGATTCTTTCATATTTTGATAAAAATGTACTCAAATATTTCATAACATTAATATTTATTGCTTTATATGAATACTGTATTGAAAGCCCAAGCATTCAGTTTACACACAGAAATTATACAATTATATACCGCTTCACAAAGGCAGTGAACACATTACATTCTACAAAATCTACTTTACAGAAATTTAAAAACCCTAAATATCAAAAGGTACAGCTGAAGAAACAGGTATAAATTTGGCAGCCAGTAATTTTGACAGGGAAGTTGCAGCTTGCATGACTTTAAATATGTAAATTTGAAAATATTGAATTTAGAGTAATCATTGTGCTTTGTGTTGATCTGAAAAATATAACACTGGCTGTCGAAGAAGCATGTTCAAAAATATTTAATTCACTTCAAAATGTCATACAAATTATGGTGGTCTCTATGCACCCCTAAAGCTTCAGTCATTCAGCTCAGGTACATAACTAAAGTAATATATTAATTCTTCCAGTACAGTGGTGTTTCATACCATTGACATTTGCATACTCTAGAATAATTTAGAAAGACGTGTAATATTCACAATGTTCCGAAAAGCAAGCAAAAGGTCAAGGAACCTGCTTGGTTCTTCTGAGATGGTCTCATATCAGCTTCATAAGCATTCATTCTACAAAATAGTAAGCTAACATTTGAACACAATTTCCAAGATAAAGCATATTTTCTCATAAATAATGAAGTCTTTTTCTCAGGCACCTCACAAGTATACAAAAGAATTTGAGTTTGAACAGATCTCTTGGAATGTGTTTAGCCTGGTATTTCAACAGACTTAAGATTTCCAGGGTTTCATAAGGGCCAGATTTTATTTCAATTACTCAGAAGAGAAAGAAAATGTCTTCTTAAAGAGGTGAACTCAATCATTACCAATAGAAAAAGTATCCACTGTATTCATCTCTTATAGAAACAGAAAAATATAACATTTCCCCCCTTAGAATTATATATATATATATATATATTTATGTATATATGACTTAAAGTTCCATTGTACATAGCCAAATAATAAAATCTGGAAACCAGGTTGAAACCCTATAATTCACATGTTAATATGTTGAAACTATGACCAAAATATGAAAACTGCTATAGCTATCAGAGACAAGAAGCTTCTTGCATATGCATAAACTAAATGTGATACTCTCAAAAAACTTTTCAAAATTATAATTATTACCTTCCAGTTTAAAAACTTTAATTCCAAATTAAAAAAAAAAAAAAATCTATACACAAACCACTGATTTGCCCATACCAAAGAAAGAAAAAGAGGAAAAAAAAAAAAAAAAAGTCAGCGGTAAGGTAAGCAGGACCCAGAGGAGCTGATATTCACAGTTCTTACATATACAACTCTTTCAGGAATTATCCATAAAGTACTTTATTTTACAACCTGCTTCTCTTGTAAAACTAAAGGTCCACTTTATTACATAAAAGTTTTATACAGTGTTAAAACCAGAACTGTATGTAAAATACTGCATCTAAATGTTTCTAAATAGTTAGTCTTGTTCCATTGGTTCATCGGTGACTTCTGTGGCTTCATCATAATTTCCCATGGATGATTCTGAAAGAATCTCTCCAGTTTTACTGGAATTGAATCCTACTAATTCTTCTGTTTCAAGGCAGTCAGAAGAACCACTACTTACAGGGCCTTCGTTTTCACTACCTCCAGAATGCAGTAAATCTTTCTCAGCTTGAGACACTTCAGATTCCTCCATTTGATTATTTTCCTCAGAAGTCTCTTCACTCACAGTTAAGGCATCATCAGATTCTTTTTCTTGATTTTTTCTTTCTGGGATCATTTCTCTTGATGTCATAAAAGACTCTAAAAATAAGCAAATGTTGTTGTAGTTAAATTTTATTTTCAAAATACCTCCACAGTTAAGTTTCATGAATTCTGATATTCTATAGTTCAAATCATATCCCCTGAAATTCAGCAGCAACTACATACAGGTGGGAGAAAAGCCCAACATCAGCATTATAAGGAGTTCCGTTATGTAAAATTCTTTCACGAAAAAAAATGAAGTACAAGAATTTGAGGATCTCCTTACTCCACCCTTTTACAGATGGTCTCTAAATACCTTCTTCTTCCTCTTCCTCCTCTTCTTCATCCTCTTCTGTACAGTGCTGCCGGGTACAATGACTTTCTTTGTCTTTATCCTGAGATGAAGATGATGCTTCTGTTTCTTCTACCACAACTGAAGAAGTTTCACTGGAAGTCGTCTGACTGGCTGTTTCTCTGACTTCACCTTCTTTGTCAAACCTGAGTCTTTTTACCTCATGCTCCTCAGCTTCCACAGCATCTTCATCTGGATGTTTATTTTTCATAGGGCTCACTGAGGAAACTTCTGATTCAGATGTCGAAGAGTCACTGTAAATTTTTTTTTATAGTGTCATTAATAAAATTATTTTCCCCATCTTCTACATCCCCATTTTTAGGGTCAGTGTTTTAAAATGCATTTTAGTGTCAAAGTTAAATTATAACAACGGAGCAAAGAAAAACAAGAGACTAATTTCAAGGCAACCTAAACTGTTTGATGAATAATTCTCAGTAGGATTTAGAAAAGCTTTATGACTTTTCTGTGCAATTCTCCAGTAAATTTAATATTCTCCTAAAATAAAACCATGAGTATTCCATACAGAAATACTAAGTTCTCTCCCTCATTTAGTCTTCCTTCCCTTAGTGTGATATAGAAAATTTGAAGATATAAATAAAAGGTCTCCTTTTATGAACTACAATGAGAAACTATTCACAAAACCAACTTATTTATAAAGATCTTTTCTCTTTTCAAGTAACTTTCAGAAATAACAAATGAAATGTATCAAGACTACTTTACTTTTAGACCCTAAAGTCTCCCCAAATTAGCAGTTTTAAGTCTTGTCTATGTCCACCTTCAACATTTGCTACAGATGCAAAGAGAAGCCTTGCTCCTATAAACCACATGAAAACCTTTTTCTGTCACTCAGAACTTATAAACAGTTAAGTGATAAGTACTGATTGTTAATAATAAAAAGTTTTTAAATATAAAACATATACAAACCTGTGATTTTTCTCTTCATTTTGCTGCAAATTTGCCTCCTTGCTGTCTGTGCTCTCAGGCAACCCATTTGTTGTCATGGGGGCTGACAAAGAAACCTTTGGTCGATTAAGTGGCCTGGGTGTTCCAGGCCCATTTATATTAGACCTATAATAAGATAAACAAACATCATTTCCTATTTTTATAAAAAGTCATCCCTCCTACAGTATGTTTATGTGAATATATCACCTAAGTAATTGCCTCAACTTGTGTTTTCAGGCTCATGGCTTATCAAATTAACTAATTCTATGTAGTTTATCTTACAGTGTCCACAAAATGCCCAATTTTTAAAAAGTACACTAAGCATGCTACTCAAAATCAGGACAACACAAACTCCATAGGTACTAAAAATCAATAATCTCACCTCTCAGTATAGCTTGGTGAATTTCCAGGAAACATAACACCATTCATTCGATTTAAGCTATTGGAATTGTTTTTCCTACAAGAAAAGAAAATATATTTATGGATGACTTAATTTTTTTTATTTTTTGAGATGGAGTCTGGCTCTCTCACCCAAGTTGGAGTGCAGTGGCGCAATCTTGGTTTACTGCAACCTACACCTCCCAAGTAGCTGGGATTACAGATGTGCGCCACCATGCCAAGCTATTTTTTGTATTTTTAGTAGAGACGGGGTTTTGCCATGTTGGCCAGGCTGGTTTTGAACTCATGACCTCAAGTGATCTGCTCACCTTGACCTACCAAAGTGCTAGGATTACAGGCATGAGCCACCACACCCAGCCCTTTGTGTGTGTGTGTGTGTATGTGTGTGTGTGTGTGTGTGTGTGTGTGTGTGTGAGAGAGAGAGAGAGAGAGAGAGGGAGAGAGAGAGAGGGAGAGGGGGGAGAGAGAGAGAGAGAGAGAGAGAGAGAGAGAGAGCGCGCGCGAGAGCATGGATCCATGATTCCACCAATGCTCCCCTTTGAGATCTTACATGTGGATGTTATTTGAAGCAACGGGAGTGTGACGACTAATCCTGGTATAACACCAGGAGCTTTAAAACCTGAAAATGTGGGGTTGCTCCTCTTGGCCCTGTAGTTTGCTACTGTTGCAAAGTTTGGGAACATTCATGGTGAGGCAAAGTAAACTACCAAACTCAAAATACTTCCCCAGTGCCTTTTTAACTGTTGTTTTTTTTTTTCCTCCTCAAAGACTGAGATCTCAGACACAATGGCAGGTAGAGCAGTGGAGCCATCCATGCACTGATCTAGAAACATTCTCACAGCGTAACAGGTTGTCACCTGTGCTTTCTTGGCAACTAGCTTGACTTGACCAAGTAGCTTGCATTCAGGGAATTCAAATTCTCCAAACAGAAATGTGAATATTAATTCTTCAACCCATGGTCTTGAGCTGATCCAACTTATGGCTGATCCTGCATTGTAGCTGATCATCAGATCAGTACTCTCACCATGTGAAAGTTTTCCAATAGATGCCATCATTGCCTTTAATTGTCTCTGAACCTGGAGGCTGCTGGTTCCAATCTTAACACTAGATCCGGCCACAATGCCTATCAAAAGGCCACAGCAGTGGCAGAGAACTAATGACTTCTCAAGGGCAATAAAATTAGGCATATCTTTAAAACTGCTAGCATAAGGAGTACCCATTTCCTTGTTCTCGTTCGCAATCACAATTAGACCTCTTGCTCACACCAACACTTAGTAATGCCTTGTGTTAAACCCATCAAATATAAAACACAAGAATACTAAACTTGGGGTCACAGGGTGGAAATGAGATTTATTTGCTGGGTCTAGAACAGACTTGGCTGCTTTTTTAATGTCCTTAACATCCCCAATGCTGGGTGTGGGTTCCAATACATCCAGTGAATACTGTCTGCTTTTCCTGGACAGCTCAAATCTTCCTCGAAGGTCCAGGAGGCCGTTAGTGTCCACTGCATCATCTGGAGAGCTGCTGGTCTGCAAGTCCTTTCTTAGATGAGACATTGTGGGAGATTGATTCCCATTTAATTCTTTAATTTTGTTAAGAATCGTGGGTCTAAAAGATCTTTTTTAAGATCTGTCACAGACCCAAACAAAAAGACTTTGTGAGAATTAGCATAAGCATACAATTTAAGAATCCGTTATTAGTCACTATGTCTTGATGCACTTCTTTACCATTTTTCCAAAATACCTCACATTAATTAGCAAAACAAAACATACTTTGGTTCATAAAGGCAAGAAATTTTTACATATTTTAATAGTTTTTCTGTCAAGAAACATAGTATGGAATTATTTTAGTCTCAAAAATAACAACATAAGTATATTCTTGAGAACATTCTAAAAACAAATTCACTGGCTGGGTGTGGTGGTTCACACCTGTAATGTCAGCATTTTGGGAGGCCAAGGTGGGAGGATCACTTAAGCCCCCTGGCAATTTAACGTTGCAGTAAGTATGCTATGATCACTCATCACTGCACTCCAGCCTGGGTAACAGAGTAGTCTATGAAAGCGAGCCAGATTAACCTTAAACCAATGGTTCTCAGCAGGGACAACCTCCCCTCCCTGTACTTCACATCCCCAGAGAACATCTGGCAATGTCTAAAGACATTTGTCAAGAGGGGAACACTACTGGTATAAATGGGTAGGGGTCTAGGACACTGCAAAATCTCTTATAATTCCCAGGACACCCACTCACAATAGAATTATCTGGTACAAAATGTCCATGGTTCCAAGGTTGAGAAACTGTGCCCGAAATTTTAATTCTTACTTTGATATACATAAATCTTGACAACTACAAACACTTTTCCATCATAAAGAGAAAAGCCATCAAGCAGTTATTCCAAACATGGGAATTATGCCCTTGAGATACCATGGAAAGACATCTAGGATGGCGTTTCAGGGAAATGAGTGCCATGACAGTATGCAAAATCCAACAATATTTAAATTACAGTAAATGATTAATCTCTTTTTATTTTTAATTTTTTAAATTAAAAAAAATTTTTTAAGACGGGGTTTCACCGTGTCGGTCAGGCTGGTCTTGAACTCCCGACCTCAGGTGATCCGGCCGCCTTGGCCTCCAAAGTGCTTGGATTACAGGCATGAGCCACCGCGCCCTACCGATGACTAACCTCGTTAATCCACATCTCTTTACTGGAAAAAACATTCAGATAATGTTATCAGTAATAGTCTACTTTGGAGACCGAATGGTAGGTTCACAAGTATCTTATCACACTTAATTACATATAAAACAAATCCGGTATATTTTAAGAACAACATATTGGAAGCAATAAAATAATTTTTTTTTTCTTTTTTTTTTTGAGATGGAGTTTCACTCTTGTTACCCAGGCTGGAGTGCAATGGCACGATCTTGGCTCACCACAACCTCCGCCTCCTGGGTTCAAGCAATTCTCCTGCCTCAGCCTCCTGAGTAACTGGGATTACAGGCACACATCACCATGCCCAGCTAATTTTTTGTATTTTTAGTAGAGACGGGGTTTCACCATGTTGACCAGGATGGTCTCGATCTCTTGACCTTGTGATCCACCCGCCTCGGCCTCTCAAAGTGCTGGGATTACAGGCTTGAGCCACCGCGCCCAGCCGCAATAAAATAATTTAAAACAGTAATTAAATAATATACCAGAAATAGAAAAAATATACTTACTCTGAAGAAGGATAAACGCAGCTAACAACCATCACATTCTGCAGTAACAAAAATCAGTGATTTAGTATGAGGAAAAGTATTACAATATAAAGTTTAATCATTTGTTTTTAACTTGTTTCTAAAACCATGGTGGTGAGTTAAATTCCATTGATTCTAATTTTGCTAATAATGAAAAATAAATGGTTAAAAATGAAAACTGGTAAAACAACAAAAACTAAAACAAACGACCAAACCAGTGTCCTACTCAGCTACTGACTTTTTTTCCCTAGACTTTTTTACCCTAATCTAGTTATTCTAGACCCGTGACATCATATACTATATGCAGTAGTGGAATTAAGCTCTCTTATTTCAGATGGAATCATCCAAAGATGTCGAGAGACTGAAGTACTTAGGACACACGTAACTGATTTTCATTACAAAGCAACACCCAATCCACAGCTTGTTGTGTTGCATCATACATCCCATGCAAAGTGACTCAAACCTTTTTTGTAATATATTCAATCTTCCTGGTAAAAATAACTTTACTAATAACAGTCAGTGTTCACTAAAAATTGATTATAAGCCATAGTGTTTTACATTTAATCCCCCTCACAGCCCTATTATTGACCACATTTTACTGAGAAGAAAACTAACCGGCCCAAGGTTACACAACTGTGAAGCACGGTAACCCCGATTTAAAGGCAGGGCACCTGGTATGACTACTGCAACATATTGCTTCTTTACCCAAAGATCTCCGAAATCTAATTATTAAAACTCCTGGAGCTGAAAAAATAAGTACTGATGAACCATCTTAGTTTCCTGGCCTTTGGGGATATTATTCAATTGAGTGTACAGAGGATCAACAAAACATATTAACACAGTAATGCCTCAAGAACTACTGCAAATCACTATGTAATGGTTTACGATTCCGGTTTCCAGGGTAAAATAAAGTGAATTTGAATCAGATCCTTAAAATGAACACTGGAGTGTTCGAGGACCAATCATCAACTGAAAACTGGAACCCATTAGCCCAATCTTGGTTTTCACAGGGCTCCTTCATCTTTCACTCAAGTCAATTTCTTTTCACTCTCTTAAATACCTTGAATCTTTGTTCTTCACACTATTTCTTTTATTCAGAATACCCTTCCTCTTATTCTAACATTCACTCAACTCCCTCCACACACACAAACACTAATGTTTATCCCTCAATCTCACCTGCATCTTTCTACTCAATACCTCATTTACATGCTTTGTATCAGTAAGTTTCCAAAGTTATGTACCTCTGAACTCCAGAATTGAGAAAATGAATTCCATGCATAAGTAAGCTTATAAAACACTCTGTAAAGTTAAAATAGCAATTATAACTTCTTAGAACCCTTAATAAGTTGATGTACACTATGATTTTCCAAGAAATTATAAGCTGCTTTTCCCAAACTTCAATGATCAACATGCAAACTCTCCCCTACCCACTCCTATTAAATCTCTCCGTAAAACATAAAATGCAATTTGGAAAACAACTTGGGAAACTCAAGGTAGGCTGGAAAACATATTTCAAGAACAGGTACCTGAAACAGATCTTACTCAATGATCTTTTCTAAAATAAAAGTTGTTAAACCACAGCATAATTCCGATAATAAAATAAGTACCTTTTCTACTCCTCTGAGAAATTTGTCTGTTCCTGTATAGTTTCTCCTTGGATCTGTTAACAATTCACATAGTCGCTGAATAGTAAAAGGGATACTGCAAAAGAATGTAATTTTACAGTATGAAGTCACTGATTATCAAGCGAATTAGGAACATTATTTCTTTTGCTAGGTAAATCTGTGTCTAGTCACTCATGTGTTAAGCTACAGAAGAAAATGCTGTAATAGGGAAATGGATGAGTCACTTAAAGTAGACAAGAAAATAAGCGTATCTTTCTATTTAACAAAAAAACGAACTCTCCCTTCCTTGATTCAAAAAGCAATGAAGTCTGGTGTGTGGGGGGGGGGGTGGGGGCAGGGGGATTGGTTAATGGGTAAGAAAATAGAGTGAATAAGATCTAGTATTTGAAAAGACAACAGGTTGACTACACCAATAATTTATTGTACACTTTAAAATAAGAGTGTAAGTGGACTGCCTGTAACAGAAAGCATAAATGCCTGAGGGAATAGATAACCCAATTACCCTGATGTGATTATTATGAATTGTATACCTATATCAAAAGCATCTCATGTACCCCATAAATATATAAACCTACTATTTACCCACATAAATTCTTGTTTTTTACAAAAAGCAATCTAGAAAGAACACCCAAAATTAAGAAAGCTTAAAAACTGAGGAAAAAAATTTTATATAATATTCTAAATCCTGATAATTTGATTACATTTACAAAAGAGGTAATAAAAATAATCAAGTTGGGGTTTATTTAACATAGAAACTTTTTCTCAAGTATTCTTCTGCACCCAAAGGTTTCTTTAAAATGTTCAAACAAAACTACAAATAAAGTATTTTAAATATGGTTCTGCACCATTATTACAATTTCATATACAACCTACATGTTTAATCCAACTTAAAATACACACAGCAATAATGATTTTAACTTTACCAAATACTTTCACTATACTTCAGTTTTCACTAGATCATAGTAAATACAAAATTAATATAGCCTGGAACTAAAATCATTTTATAACTATTTTTTAAAGTTTTGAGCTCATGTAGCTATTAGCATTCGTAAGAATTACAAACCAGAAAGAGAACAGCAGAATTATGAGTATGAGGTACGCTAAACGCAGCTAAAAAGTACAAACATAAAATCTTCAGACTCCAGTGTCTGCCATACCAATCTATCTATTCTCTTTAATGAAAAGAATTACAAAGCCTCAAATTAATACTCAACATTCAAAAAGTTCTTCTTTTTTTTTTTTTTAGACAGAGTCTCGTACTGTCGCCCAGGCTGGAGTGCAATGGCGTGATCTCAGCTCACTGCAATCTCCGCCTCCTGGGTTCAAGCAATTCTACTGCCTCAGCCTCCTGAGTAGCTGGGATTACAGGCGTGCGCCATCACACTCAGCTAATTTTTTTGTATTTTTAGTAGAGACAGGGTTTCACCGTGTTGGCCAGGATGGTCACAATCTCCTGACCTCGTGATCCTCCCGCCTTGGCCCCCCCGAAGCGCTGGGATTACAGGCATGAGCCACTGTGCCTGGACAGTTCTTTCATTTTTTTTACAGGCAGTTTTACACAGTATTTTCTTCCCCCACAACGTACAGCAGCTAGTGAGTTATAATGCCAGGACTTAAACCCAATCTCTCTAATTCAAATTCCATGTCCTTTCCACTGTACCACACGTACTTTACAAAACTGTAGTTGTTTATTTTCTAACTGGATAAACTACATTTGGTTCTCATATTCATTCCATCAATATTATTCTTATGTTCAAAGTATAAGATGTCCAAAAAATTCTGAAAATGCTTAAAATACATGTTATTCATATGAAAACAAATGTTTTTAGATAAATTTTAGAGTCCAAGAATCAATCTTTTGTCTCAAATCTAAAGTCTCATCCAAACCTAAAAGTGAGAAAACTCTTCTGCCAAAAGACAAGGCACTGAATAAAAGATTAAATGTTTGCCTGATATCCCAAACGTTCAGAAGCAACTAGAAATTCCTCTGGGCTTCTGAGGAAGAATACTCTTTCTTGCTTTAGAAAATCTACTCAGAAAGGCCGAGTGCAGTGGCTCAAGCCTGTAATCCCAGCACTTTGGGAGGCCGAGGCAGGTGGATCACGAGGTCAAGAGATGGAGACCATCCTGGTCAACATGGTGAAACCCCGTCTCTACTAAAAATGCAAAAATTAGCTGGGCATGGTGGCGCGTGTCTATAATCCCAGCTACTCAGGAGGCTGAGGCAGGAGAACTGCCTGAACCCAGGAGGCGGAGGTTGCGGTGAGCCGAGATCGCGCCATTGCACTCCAGCCTGGGTAACAAGAGTGAAACTCCGTCTCAAAAGAAAAAAAAAAATCTACTCAAGAGTGAATTACAGCATCAAAACGAAGAATCCTTTTAAATGGGGAAGTATAAAGCGCACCAACAGCATTACTAATTATGAAACAAGCTTACACATCTTGTTTCATTCCTATAAAGACAATATATAATTAGAAATCTATAGCTAACACGCAAAACTCCACTTTTAGTTTAAGCATTTTCCAAGTTGCATGTAAAACAAACAGTATCAATTTCTCACTTGTCAATCAAAATTTTCTCATCCTTGACTGAAGGTTTTTTTTTTTTTCTTCGGAGATGGAGTTTCACTCGTTACCCAGACTGGAGTGTAATGACGCTATCTCGGCTCACCGCAACCTCCGCCTCCTGGGTTCAGGCAATTCTCCTGCCTCAGCCTCCTGAGTAGCTGGAATTATAGACACGCGCCACCATGCCCAGCTAATTTTTGCATTTTTAGTAGAGACGGGGTTTCACCATGTTGACCAGGATGGTCTTGATCTCTTGACCTCGTGATTCACCTGCCTCGGCCTCCCAAAGTGCTGGGATTACAGGCTTGAGCCACCGTGCCCGGCCGACTGAAGGTTTCTTAAGGGCAGGAGCTCTTCACATACATTATGTTCAACATATAATTATTTGTGTATGTGTACATATATATACACACATATACATGAAATCCAGTATCATCGTGGATTTCAGAATATTAGTGGTACAACTCACCTTAGCTCCTCTTCTAGTTCACTGCTCCTCAAACCTTACACACACACCATACCTATTTCCCCATTAATCACCCCACAGTGATACTATCATTAGAAGTTTATTATTCAAAACATATAAAATATGCACCAACAGTCTGAGTATTCAAAAAGAGTATGGGTATTCAAACAGTACTTAACTGAAATATACTGTGTAGTATATTATATAAAATACACTATGTTTTCTCACTAAGCACAATTAGTTTTAACAGATGAGCATTTTTTTTTCCTTCCCAGAGACAGGGTCTTGCTATGTTGCCCAGGCTGGAGTGCAGTGGCTATTCACAGGCACGATCCCACTACTGATCAGCATGGGAGTTTTGAACTGCTCCGTTTCCAACCTGGGCCGGTTCACCCCTCCTTAGGCAACCTGGTGGTCCCCCACTGCCGGGAGGTCACCATATTGATGCTGAACTTAGTGCGGACACCCAATCGGCACGCAGTACTGCCCAGAACTCCTGGACTCAAGATCCTCCAGCCTCAGCCTCCCAAATAGCTGGGACTACAAACATGCACCACTGTGCCCGGCCAGATGAGCAGTTTAAAACTTCTTGTTTAACATTTACACTGAGTATCTTGGCTTTCTTTAGAAACTTAAGTTAAACTGTAGCCAATTACTAATATTTTTTCTGTTGGTTTAATACTAATACTGCTGCTTTGGGAGGGGAGTATGTGTTTACACAACAATGCCAGCCACAACAGCCTATGATAAAATGAGTTTAAGTTCTTAAACAATTTCAGAAGCTTTTTTCCAAAAGATCCTTATTTCAAAACACAAAAGCGTTTAAAAGCCATTTTACCGAGTATCCAATAGATGGCACTAAAATGTCACACAACACTCCCTTTTCTCATACCACAGGCTAAAACACAATCAAACACTTCCTACAAATCAATGTATCCACTGTAAATATTAGTATGATAACTGACTGTAACAACAGCATTGAAAGGTCTTTTTCATATAGATTGTACTTTTAAACTTATTCCATAAATATAAGAGCCTATTATAAATTAGAAATACTAACCTTGCTCAACAGCACAGTTGACATGAAAATAATTACAATTACAGTAATAAATGCTAACAAAATTGTTTAAAAAGTACTATGGAGATAGAATAAACTGTATGCCGGGCTTAGTAAGCACGATGCTGGAAAAACTTAATTTGAAGTAGACCTCTAAAAGGAGGCAAAGAATAAACCAGGTAAGCCAGTATAGAATGAATATATTTGGTACAAGTATAAGAAAACTGTTCTCTGGCCAGGCATGGTGGCTCATACTTGTAATCCCAGCACTTTGGGAGGCCAAGGCAGGCAGATCACCTGAAATCAAAAGTTCAAGACCAGCCTGACCAACAGAGCAAAATCCTGTCTCTACTATAAATACAAAAACTTAGCTGGGCATGGTGGTGGGCGCCTGTAATCCCAGCTACTCAGGAGGCTGAGGCAAGAAAATCACTTGAATCCGGGAGGGAGAGGCTGCAGTCAGCCGAGATCGTGTTATTGCACTCCAGCCTGGGCAGCAAGAGTGAAACTCTGTCTCAAAAACAAAACAAAACAAAACAAAAAGCTCTGCTCTGACAGTCGTCATCCATTAGACATAGCATACAAAATAGTTTATTCTAACTCCTGAAAATATTAAGGCTTTTCCCACACATACTAAGAAAAGCAAATATAAGAAGAGGAGTGTTAAACGTAACATACATGCCACTCATTCTCAATAAAAAGTCTCAACTGAAGTCCTTCAATCTGGTAGGGAGTGGTGACAAGATGCTCCTTAGTAAAGGTGTACTACAAAACAAACTTTGGGCCAGGTGCAGTGGCTCATGCCTGTAATCCCACCACTTTGGGAGGCTGAGGCAGGCGGATCACCTGAGGTCAGGAGTTCGAGACCAGCCTGGCCAACATGGTGAAAATCCATCTCTACTAAAAATACAAAAATTAGCCAGGCATGGTAGCAGGTATCTGTAACCATCTATACCAAAAAAAAAAAAAAAAACAAAAAAAAAAAC